CCCTGAGGTTATGGAAAAGCTTTCAGTTTGTTCTTCATGAGTTCTTATTGCAGTCGTTGCTCCATCATACATATCCCTTATTTCTTGGATATATGCTACTCGTACTCCTTTCTTCTGTAGAATCCTCCAAAGAATTTCTCTTGCAACCCTATCATACAATTTTCCAAATCTATAAAGACCATGTGCAAATCCTTTTTCATATCTCTATATCATTCCATTGATCTTCGTAAGTGATAGATTGCCTCCATTGTCAAGTGCCCTGGCATGAACTCGAATTGATTATTAGACTTGTGTTTCTTGCCTCATTTTATGTTCAGTTACCCTTTCGCAAAGCTTCATTGTTGGCTCATTAACTTAATGCTCCTATAATCATGCAACTTTGTATGTTGCCCTTATTTTTGTAGATAGGCACCAAAGTGCTTTCTTGCCACTCAGGGCATCTTCTTTGTTTTCAAAATCTTATTGAAAAGGTTTGTAAGCCATGCTATACCCGTCTCTCCCAAGAACTTCCATGCTGCAATCGGCATATTGTTTGCTTTTCTTTGCTTCGTAGCTACAACCAGTTCCTCTTTCTTCATTCATAGGTAAACAGAGTAATTTGTACACTCTTCCGAGTAACTCAAGTCACCCAAAGAAGTGCATTCATTGAAGAAATTATGAAAATAAGCTCTCCATTTGTCTTTAACCACGTTCTCTGTGGCTAGAACCTTTCCATTCTCATCCTTGATAAACCTTACCTGGTGCAAGTCTCATCTTCCTTTCCCTGGCTAGCTAGTTTATAGATATTCAACTCTACTTCTTTGGTATCTAATATACATGTCATCAAAAGTCACTAGCTTTTCTCTAATAGCGTTCTTTGCTTCCGTCTCTGCTATCTTATAGTTGTCACAATTTTCATCGGTTCTATCCCTATATAAGGCTTTATTAAACTTAGTGAAGTGATATTTGGTCTTATGGGTATGTCAATGTGGTTAAATGTCAAATATGTGAAAGATGAAATGACAGTCCTGGTTGTTATACGACTTCATTAAGTAGTCTAGAATCTAGTAAACCATGCTCGTTGAGTTCTATTGAGTGATTCTAGAACTCTATGCTTTTTTTTGCTAAAATGTACCATGAGAAATGTTGGAATTTAACAAAGGATGAACTACGAATAGTTTGATCTCGTCTTAGGGCACGTAAACAGTAACTTAAGGGTTAGATGCAGCCATAAGATTTTTTTTTTTTTTTTTTCTTTCTTCCTCCTGTGGGTCGCTTCTTCTTCCTCCTGCATATGTGGGTCGTTGGGGAGGGGGAGGGGGGGTGGGGAAGGACAATTTTCTTCTTCTTCCTCCTGCATATGTGGGTCACTGGGGAAGGGGAGGGACATTTTTTCTTCTTCTTCTTGTAGATGTGGGTTTAAAATTTATTTTTTTTTTTGATTTCAGGTTTTTAAAAAAAAAATTATTTTATTTGCCATGTGGCAGACATTTGGCAGCCACGTCAGCATGTCTTCTTCTTCTTCTTCTTCTTCTTCTTCTTCTTCTTCTTGTAGATGTGGGTTTAAATTTTTTTTTTTTTTTTTTGAGAAAATTCAGGTTTTTAAAAAAAATTATTTTATTTGCCATGTGGCAGACATTTGGCAGCCACGTCAGCATGTAACAGATCAATTGATGGAAAATGTAACAGAGGTATTATTTTGAAATAAAATAGTACTTAAGGTATGAAAGTGAAATGTTTTAAAGATGTTGTAAGGAATTGAAATAGATGAAAGTGTAATTTACCCTTAAGTTAATTGAAGGTATGATTTGTATTTGGCACCAAAGAATCAGAATCTGCAACCAAAGTTGTCAAATTATGTTTAATGACTATTTTATTAACATTTCTGTGATAAATTAGGTTATAATTTATCCATTTTTGGCCAGCAGAACAAGATTAGCCATAAAGATGGATGAGTATTCTCTTTGGATCCTCTTTGTGAGAATCATGGAGAGCACTTCATAGTGTTCATTCATTGTACATCATGCGATCAGTTTTTGTGAGGTACTATTTCTATTCAATTTCAAATAAAAAAATTCAAAATGATTTCTGACTGTAGGATAACAGATGAACAGACATGATAAGGTGATTTCTGGGATCCTCACAAAAAGGATTCGGATAGGACCCTTGACACACCCCGACCGAGATCAGGGCGTGCTGGCCGTCACTCGGAGGTGACGTAACCATGTGCACGTGCGGAAGCTAAATAAAGTAATATTAAAGTACGAATAAATTAAAACCTAGCATACAAGGTACTAAGACAAATACTAGCGTACGTGAGACACTAAGTTCAGAGCAAGACTACAACAGTCCAAAGAGAATACTACGACAATAATACACCCGAAGGTGACCCTACATTGGTGAGTATCTGTCAGAAATGCCGGGACGCCCTCTGGGAAGACCACCGCAACTGCTAAGCAACTAGAACCTGGAGGGGCGCAAAACAAAAGCGTGAGTGGGCAAAAACAAAGCTCTTTGAAAACCATTTCATAAAAGACATTATAACCCCTCGCCGTAAAACCTGTATACTTCCCAGAAAATAAACGTATGTACGTATACATATATAAGCTATAACATGTTCCAAGGTATGCCAATCATACATAGTAATGCCACATCGAATTCTCATAATATAATGTAACGTTCAGGCACAACTCATATCAATAACATGTAATCTAGCAGCCGGGAGTCACCTAACGTGACCTGTACGGCTAAATCTAGAGCTCAAATCACAATCTCAATCACTAAACAACTGAACCTGACCACGATGTCGGAACCACCTAATGTGGTCTGTACGACAAGGACTGGGTGTGGCGTATATATATATACGCTAAAGTGCTACGATCACGTGAAGGCTGGGCGAATAATCGCGGGTCACCTACGAGTCGGAACCACCTAATGTGGTCTGTACGACAGGGCTGGGCACCTAGCTTTGGATCCAAGCTGAGCATAAGGTACGGTGAGGTGAACATCACGTGAAGGGCTGGGCCCTGCTCAGGGCGGGAGCACTCACACGGAGGGTGCAGGTTATGAGCTCATTAATCATCTCAAACTATAACTGAATGTAAATACGAATAACCTTTACCTGGTACTTACCTGTGCGTCCACAGCACCCAATACACATATATATAAATGCATGCCACTACTAATGCATGTAATGATGCATGAACGACAAACATATAATGCATGGCATAAAGCAATTAACCTTTCCTAACCAATTTCTGGGAATATAAACATATATAGGTATATACGGAAAACCAAAAGCCCACTCACTGATATGGGGAAGGGTCGTAGCCCCCCTGCCTCGAGTGAATACGCTCGTCCTCGGAGTACGTATCACCTATACGCGAAAAAGCTACGAAAACGTCAATTTAAACGCATATAACCAATTCCTTGTAATAATTTCTCATACATTGCTCAAATTGGACAAATGAATATACCAAATTGATCTACACAACCTCACGATCACAACCATAATTTTATAATAATTTTTGGACCACGCACGCGCCTGGAATAGCACGGACCCACGCGCCCCCACGCGCGGTCACGTGCACTGCACACCGACGGAATATTCCGTTGACTGACGGAATATTCCCTAACTGACGCCGTTAGTCCTGTTGGAATATTCCGTTAAAACTTAACGGAATATTCCCCTGTCCTCTCCGGCGAGCCGCCGCCGTCTGCGCCGCCGCCGGAAAACTGGAAATTTTTCAAACTTCGTTTTCTCACTCGTTTTTCAACCATTTTTCACGTTCTTTATACCAAAATGAAGCTTAGGACTAGTAGAATCACGTTAGACTACTTTTAAGGCCTAAAAATCAAGGAATCTCACCTGCAACAACGGTCTAAGTTCGGCCAACTTTGGAACTAAGCCTTCCCGACGTCCAAATTCACCCAACGAAGCATTCCCAAGCTCCTTAGAACCTCACCAACACATCTACAAGCTTAAAATGTCCAAAAACATGCTAGATTAAATTTGCATGAATAGTGCTCAAAACGGAGTTCGTCGAATCGACGTGAAAACGTAAGATTCCTCACCTGAAAATGGTACCACTGGACTCCTCTCCACTTCACGAGTTCGATGGTGTAATTTGTTTCTTGATTTGTGAAGGTTTGATTGTATGTGTGTGTGTGTCCGTGTGTGTTTGTTTTAAGAGAGAAGAAGAAAGAAATGGTAGAGGACTCGGGGAGGAAGAGAAGAGAGAGAGAGACAAAGAGACAGAAAAGAGGGAATCAGGGAAAAGAAAAGGGAAAGAAATGATGACAGGGTGTGTGTGTGTGTAACACGTGTCCACACTACCCGAAACGACCCTAAACGTACTTACAACGGACTAGGGGTAAAATGGTAATTTCGCACGTACGTTTTATACATTTTGGGACGGGATGTCACAACCCTATTCCACAAAAGATAACCTCTGGCATAATAAACTTTGCAACTTAAAGAAACTATTAAATATATTAAAATTTGCCACTTAGTACTACGGTCTAATATGTTCCACTTCACTTATAAATCAGAGGTCTTAGGTTCGATTATTGCCAAAAGCAAATTTGAACCACATTATTACTAGCCCATTGTGAGGCTTAACGCATTCCCTAACCCTTTTAGTATAGATAATATCGTTTGTTTAAATATATATATATATATATATTATATTAAAATTTAAAATTGTCATAACTCTGCATTGTAAGTACATTATACGTTGGAAATTTCAAGATTCCGACGTTGTTTTCTGTTCTTTTGGTTAAACAATCTTAACATAAATCAAATTAAGTACCACTAGCAAGTAACAAGCATCTTATGGTTTCATGTCTTTCTTTATTTGAAGGGAAAAAACGCATATCGAACCAGCTGACTCGTCTGACCATTCAATGAAATGATGCTACATCAGTAACTATTTACCAATTTATCGACACATCAACAGCTATGTAATCAAAGCATCAATGGTACACAGAGAGAGAGAGAGAGAGAGAGAGAGAGAGAAATCTAAATTAGTGTGCTAATGAGTAGTTCTTTATATACAGTCAAGAATCTTGCAAGAGTTCAGTTACAATCCTCGAAGCAACATTTCAATCATACAACAGATAGTTAAGGGCGAGAGCGTAAGAGCAAATCAACACTTGTTTTAAGAAAAAATGCCTGCCCTGTATAAGTGTCAAGCATGTTGAATTCATGTCAGGTCTGCTTCTCCTCCGTATCTTCCAAATTATTTATATTTTGCATCAGTTTGAAAACAATCACAACAACGGATGAAGCCGTATAATAAAATAACTTCATCCCCGCACCGTGTTTTTAGCCTGGCTTGTTTGGCAGATTAGCCCTGCAACCAAAACTAGAACTTGAACCTCATTGCAGCAGTGGCTCATCGTCATTTTGTAATTCCTTGAGCTGCCTTTTTGCATACGCCGTGAAGAAAATTGTGGCAGCCACAGTCAAAGAGAAGCCAACTACAGTGAAGATTATCTGTGGTGCTGAAAGACCGTGGCGCTCATGTGAAGCGTCTGCCAACGTCCGTATCAGGATCCCACTGCAAAGAAAATAGGTGGGGAAGTTTGCTGATAAGTCAAAGCACAATTGGTTGGTCCAAAATATAAACGGAGCAATTTTCATGAGAAAAGACAGGAAAATGGCTTAAGTACTTCAACTAATTATGTTTCACACTCCAGAAAGCAGACCAATATAACATGAAAATGGGAATGTCTCTTGCCTACCAACCAGATTGGAAGAATGGTATGAATAATTAAGGGAAAATAATAACAAACTGGTTAAAAACAATGCACCGAGACACCAGATAAGACGACTTTACAATTGATTGGAATGAGGCCACTACTACTTGGTATAAATGTTTAGGCATATTCTACTGCAGTAAGCAAGCTACACAGCAGCTCCCATAGCTACCATTACCAATATTCAGAAATTAATAGTGATGTGGCGTGAAGACACCAAGTGAAAGTGGTGCAGGAAACTACTAAAGAAGGCCAGGACAGCAACTGCAGCTTTCGACCTTCCAACCAAGTGATACTATATTGTTTAATTGGTTCAAAATCCCACATTTAAATGGAGGTTCACCAATGAAACATATTTGAAACAGTTTAGATTCTTTCTCACCTTAATACAGGATCGCACTTATATGCTTATATTTCTTAAAACTGCTAAATCAGTTCAACACACATTGAAGATCTCACTTTACAAAAACATTAATTTCCTGGACTAATGATTTGCAAACATAGAAAGAATTATACAAATAAAAACAATCCATGTTCCTCTGAACACATGATCCTTTCTTGTTGCCAATATACAAATATGTATATTTATTCCATAAGGTGGTGTTAAAAACTGCAACAGTCTAAAAATACAGACATAAAGATATGGCTGAACCTATGAGCGACAGAGAGGGAGAGTGGATTCAACATACGTGTAGATGGCGACAAATGTTTCTGGCACCATTCCCGCCAAGGACCCCAACAGGTAAGGAACATACTTGACATTTGTTGCCACAGCAGCATAATTATAGATAATATAAGGGAATGGAGAAATCCTGATTAATGTTACAGATCGAAACTGATGAAACCAGTTTCCTTCCCCAGCCGATCTTAAAATGGATGCTCTCTTCGGATATTTTTCTAACCATCCCTGCACATAACAAAATGTTAAATCATATTCAGTGTGTGCATGCAAACACACAGCATAAACCTGAAAGAAAAAACTACGTCAAACGGAACATTACGCACTTGAATTTTGTGATAGAAGAGAAAGCCAATGAAGAATGGAAGGGATACACCCACAGCTGCTGCTGATATGATTAGAAGAAATCCATAGCCATAACCAAAAGCCATACCAGCCACCCACATAGAAGGTGAAGATGGTAAAAGCACAGTGGGAAATAATGCCACAGAAGCAAAGACTAGAACCGCAAGCACTGGAGGACTGAATGTTCTCGTCTCCCAGTCAAGAATTGGAATAATCTCCTGTCAATGATTTCATCAATAGTCAGCCATAGTAAGAGAAATTGTATCAAAGCTAGTTGAAATAGGAAGAACAAAGAGTAAGCATTCATACAAACATTGGATTATAACACTTAATAACCACCGTGCTGTAGTCTTAATCTCCTATGTTTCTTCACCAAAGAAACAATTGTCTTGTGCAGACACCATGCAATGAATTAACGGCGACACGAAATTATTTACTAGTCTAAAATATTTGAAATCGGCTTAAATGGGAAACAGAACATTGACTATAGTGAGTGGGCTTCAGTACTTAATGTCACTACCACATAAATGACTACAGTCACCAACATTGCCAAAGTTACCGAAAATACAAGCTCCAAATTATAATCCCAAATGCAGCACATGATATTACCCATTTCATCAAAGCTTAATGCTTCACAGCAGTGTCTTACATGCCAGGAACATAGGAATTGCCACAAAAAGGAACAAGGCATTATCAAATTCACAAAAAAATTCCGAAAAAAGAAACGAAAACCATATAATCAAAGACAATGGCAGTAACAAAATCACTAGATGTGGGTTGATTTGTATATTATAGACCAACAAATTGATGAGTTCCAGTAAAAGAAACTCACACGTTCCTTCATTAACATGTAACACCATTGCAGAAAAGCTGATACCGAATACCGAAACACAATCAACCACGGCCTTACATACAAGTCATAAGGTAACAATTAAGCAAAACCCAAAACTAAAACACAGAAGAAAGACAACAACAACAAAGCCTTATCCCACTAAATGAGATTGACTATATGAATTCCCCTAGAACGCCACTGTCCTCAATTTTCTATCATGTCTTCCGTTAGATCAAAGTAAAAAAAAAAAAAAAAAAAAAGGGGAATGTTTACCTTATCCATGAAATAAGGTCCGACCCATTTTACAAAAACCCCAGCCAACAACCCCAAGCACATAACCAACAATACCAACCTAACCCAATACCAAAAAGACGCTAACTTTCTCAGAGACGCCGGCTCCGCCACCGCCTCAAACCCCTCCGCCGTCCCGCAACCGCCCCGATCACCATCCCCCAACTTAACATAGTCCCCTTTGTCGTCTTCGCCCCCAACTCTCAAAATCAGCTCCGGCACCACCTCTCCCCGATCCTTACAATCGTCATAGGACATCGAAAAACCCAAGAAATTTTATCAGGCCGCAGAAAACCCCAGTTGGTCCCCGTTTCCGTTCGAAATTGCGAAAGATTTGGGAAATTGATAGAGTGTGTGCCCAATGTGAATGTTTGGTGATGGATCAGAGAGCCCGCGTGTACATGAAGACTGGCAAATGCGCAGAGGCGATCGAATGTACCAATTGAAATCGAAAAGCACACGCAAACAAACTCCCAAACCCTAACAGCGGAAGGTGTTGATTTTTAGCATTATTAATTTGGGTAATGCTGAGAGAAACCCATTTTGCCGGTACTGTTTATTTTAATTAAAAATTATATTTTTACATTAGAAAGTTAATTTTGATACTATTAACTTTATACTTTATTTTGTTCTTATCATTAAAACTTAAAGTTTTCAAGTAATTTTCATTAGTTTTTCTTTTTGCACACTTTGGTTTGTAAATTTGTTTTTAAAAAATTTAGTTTCCTAGTATTACGATATTAATTGATTTTTTTCAATTAATTTGATCTGATGATCGAAAATTAGTAAAAATAGGTGAGAAGTACAAATGGGTGCATGGATAGTAATGTCCATAAGAATATATGACAAACAATTGAATACAGCGATATAGATATAGTAGTGTGCTATTCACACATCCCATTTTACTTTTCACACACCTCTTAATAATTTTTGTCCGTTAATCTTCTTCAATTCATCTGATTCGATGGTTGAAAATTAAAAAAGTGTGAGAAATAAAATGGGATGTGTGGATATAACATCCCTAGATATATTATATTATATTATATTATATGTAGATGTATTTACGAGATTGCCACCTGAAGAAATGGGAACATTTTGGTTGACTGACACACGTGGTGTAACGGTAGTATGTATAAGTAGGAAGAAGAGAATTTTCAATCTGCCGAAAACAGGATCTGGTACACCAATTATCATAATACAAGTAATTGGATACTTAAAACTTCCAAATATTTGTATTATGACACTTTATGTACTACGCTGTGTTATCAGCACACTAAAATATTTTCATAAGTGGGGCCACATGGGATCGAATGTTGGTTGTCGTTTCTTCATCACCACGGTAAGTCCAAGGCTGAATGACTTCGGTGAATCTTAAGTTCACTCGATTAGTATTTTAGGAATTGGATCCTATCCTCCTGAGCACAAGCTCAGGAGCCTCCTGACCAGAGCACATGGGCCGTTGGATTTTGATCCAACAGCTACAAACAGGGGGTCCCTCTAAAAGTTATAATAATTGTAGCCTTTGGATCAAAATCCAATGACCCACATGCGCTGGTTAGCAGGCTCCTGAGCTTGTGCTTAGGAGAGGATCCAATTCTAGTATTTTATTTATTTTTTTGACAAGTGGTAGGGTTAAGGGGAAAATTAGATTCTACCACTTCTTTTTCACATTTTTTAAACTAAACATTTGTAGTATTTTAAGTTTTGATTGAACTTTTAAAATTTTAATTAGGGTGCTTTAATTATGTCCACATCAGCATTTTCTTATTTAATTCATTATCTTTTATTGATGTAAAAGGATATATACTCATTTCCAGTTTATCCCTTAATATCTATTATTAATTTTTAACTATCTCCCTAAAAATTAGAGAACAGTTTTCTGCTTTTTCATTTTTCTCACCCAGTTCATCAAAAGAGAGATACAATCGTGAGAAATATTGCAGGGTAGAGAGAAAGGGAAAGAGGGAGAGATAGAATAGCTACTGAAAACAAGTTGAAATTTGTTAGGGGAGATAGAGAAATTAGGTGTTCATAAACAATGATCTATTTTATTGGCTTATGAATGTTCCGTGATCATCTCTTGACATGGATCATTACAATTTATTTTTCAAATAGAAACGTAATGTCAAATTGAAACGTACCAAAGTCAAATTAAAATGTACTAATGTCGAATTAAAACGTACCATGCAATTTGAAACGTATCTCATGTCAAAGTGAAACGTATCTACTATAATATCTAGAAGGCAATGCGCCAATCGAAGTTAACTTTCCAAACGTACCATGCAACTTGAAACATACCTCATGTTAAAGTGAAATGTACCCACTATAATATCTAGAAGGCAATGCGCCAAACGAAATTAACTTTCCAAATGTACCATGGTACGTGAAAAATTATGAAAACATGGATACAAAGTGCGCTAAAACAAAAGGCTTACCCTATGGTTTCAATATTCAAATTTGAAGGTGTGATATATCATACCACCATCGAAGTTGGTGGAGAACAATCATTAACTTAACTTAAACGGTGGTACAATATACACATCGATTGGAAGAGTTGGTTTGTGCTCCAATACGGTGTGGAGTTGGAAGAAAAAGGTACGTAAGAAATACAAGCAAATATCAAATTGTTTTTTAAAATTGTAAAAGAATTTATGTTGAAATTGAATACTGAATCATAACCACTAGAGATTTTATAGTCAATTTGATACACTACATATAATGACAAATCATATAATTTTGTATTATGTGGCGTCTAAATTGTAGGAAGATGTTAATCAAAATTCTAAAAGGCATGGATGTTTAATCTCAAAATTTCAAAAGCTAGGCATCTGTATCAAAACGCCCCTTAAATTATTATTGTTAGAAAAAAAATGATTAGTGAAGATTCAACCCGTACTATAATATATATGCATAATTGCTTTTTATTACTACGATAAAACGTCATTTGCCCCTTCTCATTAATCAGTGTTGGTCCATTGGGAATTTTTGTTTTTTTTTTATTCTAGGTGTTATTGACATTCCGAAAGAAATTGTTATGCACTTTTCATTTGCAAAAATATAAGGAAGAAAGTTTACATGGGAAGTGCATGATGACTTTGAGGTGCCATTAATAGTTATTTTGATTTTACCACTTTATTTATTTATTTTTTTTTTTGGTTTTTCTTTCGATAGCACTACAGTTAATCCTACTATTCTATTAAAAAAATGCTACTTCTATTTTTTTTTTTTGTTTTTTGGTATGCTGGAGGTTTCAGGTTTCACGTACCTAGATAACGTGTTCGACATTATAATTGACCTATTTGATGAAGAGATTATCTCTTACAACTAGTGAATAATATACTATTTCAATAAAAACAATTATCTATAACATCGACAGTGCAACTAAACTAATATATTCAAAGGTGTTTCTTTCTATTCGGTAGCTTAGCTTAACCCTTCCATCTGTAAGAATAGTATGCCCTTATATACCTTACTTTATTAAATTTAATACTCTGTTCCAAAATAAATTTAAAAAAAAAAAGGAACGACGTGTTAGATAACTATTATCAAAATATTAGATAATTTTATTTAATGTTATGATCTAATTGATAAAAAACAAGAATGAGGATCTTCTTCGGATTCTTTTTATAAGGATCCGGGAAATCATCCAATCGTGTTCGTTTATCATATATCGTGCAATAAAAAATTATTTTAAATTTTTTATTTAAAATTGAATATAGATAGTATCTAACGAAAATTGGCCTACAATGTACAATAAGCGAATACGATTGGAGGATCAGAATCCTCGCAAAGAGGATTCGAAGAGAATCCTCATTCATAAAACAATGATAAAACAGAATTATGCGATTGTAACAAAAATTAATTTTCTTCCATGATTGACCAAATGATTAGGGAATAAAATATGAATAGCTAGGGTGTTGACAGCCGAAGGCCAAAGAGAAAAATTGGGTTTTGAGAGGGCAAAAATGAGAAGGGAACAGCGCCAACAAAGGAAAAGCAACTAGTACGGAAACTTGTTTGAAGTGAATGAATAGGAGTGAAAAGCGGTAAAGAATTAGGCTAGCCGAACTACAAAAAAATGTGTTTTTTCAGTAAAATTTGTTCCGAATATGATAGTTTTAGGGATGTGCTATCTACATACTCAATTTTACTTTTCACATACCCTTAGTTTTAGGGATGTACTATCCACATAGTTATGTAAACAATTCAATTATAGATGTTATTTTATAAAGGAAATGAGTGTAAAAATAACTTAGCATTTTGAATTGGATTTGAAAGGGTAGTTTAAGTAATAAATTTGGGTTTAAAGAGAGATTAATTCTTTAATAAAAAATAATATAGGTAAAAAAAGTAAGTTGAGTGTAAAAAGAGGTTAGATGTGTTCAAATAAAATTTTCCTTTTTAAAATGACTGAAAGCTTAACAAAAGTATTTTTGGGTTCTAAAAACACTTAAAGTGCTTCCTGCAAGAAACTCATAATTGATGCTTCTTCCAGGAAGCACTTTAAGTGTTTTTTTTTTTTTTTTTTTTTTTTTTCAGAATTCACTTGCATTTTTACTAAAAATTGGTTTCAAAAGTCTTTTTACTAGAAATACTTGCAGCCATTTTAAAACCACTTTGAAATGTGTTCTAAGAAAATAAAATTGGAGTTTATTTTATCTCTACACCCAATAAAACTCAAAACTCACCACACCATAGCAACCCTCTATTATTTCCGGCGAACCCAGTCACAATCCGGCAACACTTGAATCAACAAATTAAGCTGCAGTTTGCAAAGGCTCTTTTTAGCCCTTTCTTTTCTTTCACTGGACTAAAGCATTTACTCTCCAGCCTCTAAATATCAGAATTTGGGCTAAAGAACATACCTCTGCTCTTTATAAGTTCATATGAGGAAAGTAAAACGATGCTATTATTTTCATAAAAAATGGGGAAATTAATGTCAATGAAAGAGATTACCAGATCCTCTCCCCCGATTAGATAGATCCAACTGAGAGAGAACAGAACAACATAAATAGTCCTCAGCGCTTAGTTGTGTTCACCAGAAAAATGGAGGGTTGATGTCATTGGTTGTGTCAGGATTTTTAAATAATAGAGTCATAACATCAACTAAAAAGTTTCATTTGGCTATTTCGTCGAGCACCTAGTAAACATTTGCCAATTCTTGCAAATATATGTCGAAAGCTTATACCAACATATGTCGACAACTACTATTATTTATAAAGGTTTGTTGAAGGTAGATGCAGAATATTGTAGAGTAATGTTGAACATTGTCAAGGCTAGTCAACTAAAGTATTTCATCGATCACATGGTGCACACAATAGAGTCGTACACAAGAAGAGAGAAAAGGACGAGAAACATGATAGAAGAAAATAGAACAAGTAGAAGGAGATTATATTTTAGTCAGAAGAAGTAGGAGAAGGATGTTATAATTTTAGCTTGTCTTAACTGTTAATTGTGGTCAAATTCAATACACAAACAAATATACATGGAGTTTTTGGACCCTATGCTCACTCCACCATTGGTTCACATGGTGTTGTT